CCACTCAATTCTAAGAGGTAAGTCGAGTATGGGTACACCGGAGGAGTCGAGCGTTGAGTTGAATGAAAATTTCCGAGCAAATCATTCAGCCTTGTCGACATAGGAGGTCAGGACTTCGAACTGGTTGAACAAAGGAGGTATAGAGGGTTTGCGAAACTCGGAAACCAATGGATGAAAAACTAAATTGTTTATTCTCAGAGGAGTGAAGGTCTACTTTGGTAGTATGTCAGTACATTCGCACCAGAAAAACAGATAGATCACCAGTCTGGGACACGTGAGACCGGTTCTCTTAATAAAGAGGGGGGCCACCCGGAGAGAGAGAGAGAGTTTTTTGGGTTCGTCTGTCTTCGAATGCAGTCAAACTGAGTGGAGAGACATCAGGGATTGAAAAGGAAGCGTCCGCTGTGTGTTGCTGTAGCTGAGGTCGACTCCTGCGACTCCTGCTACTACTAATACTACTATTACCACTACTGAGAACGGGAACATCGAAAGGTTGTAGTAGGTGCGCTAAGAACAGACCAAGAAGGATTAAAACGAAGGCCACATCTCTCCTTTACCGAAATTATTCGAAATATTTGTGTTTGTTTGATTATTGTTCACAGACAAAAAGCATTCAACAAGAATTATGTATTGTGCGTGTGTTTGCTTATATATATATATATATATATATATATATATATATATATATATGGGACACGTGAGGCTGGTTCCCTTAATAAAGAGGGGACCCAACCGGAGAAAGTGTTTTTTGGTTTCGTCTGTCTTTGAATGCATTCGAACTGAGTGGAGAGATGTCAGAGATTGAGAAGGAAACGTCCGCTGTATGTTGCTGAAGCTGAGGGCGAAGAAGCAAAATACCACCGCTACCATCGAAGTACTGCTACTCCTGCTACTACTACTACTACTACTACTACTACTACTTCTACTGCTTCTACTACTACTACTGAGAACGGGGACATCGAAAGGTTGTAGTAGTTGCGCTAAGAACAACCCCGAAAGGGTTAAAATGAATGCCAAATCTCTACAGAAATATTTGTGTTTGTTCGGTTACTGTTCACATGCAAAAACATTCAACCTCATGCAAAAAGAATTATTTGTTTTATATATATCAAATTGTTTTGTCCTTTCAAAATCGAATCGACTTGGTTATATTTATTTTTCTGTTAACCCGATTCCCACCCGAGGAACACGCAGGTGGACCAACGGAAAGTTTCCGGATTTCTACGATTTGATGACCACTCTCCAGGATCAAAACAATCACAAAGTGGCTGGAGGGTGGCTTCGAATTGACATTAGGAACCAGAGACTTGTGTCTAAACTGTAGTACTGGACCATACCGGACCAACAGCCGGTCTTTTGGTGTCCGTTGGTCTAGTGGGGTGAGGATACGATGTTAAACACGAACAACATAGCCGAACCGAGTTAACATGGAAAAAATAATTTCTGAGTCGACCACCGTGTTGTATACATTCGTTTGTTGCGCCGTGCTTTTATTTTCCAATTTTATTGTACTGTGACTTTTTTGTCTACATTGATTCCTATTGGAAAAATAGTTTCGGTTTACGAACATTTCGGGTTACGAACGGCCTTCAGGTACGAATTAAATTCATGAACCGTGTTTCCACTGTATCTTGAATGCGTCTCTCTGGGGGTTGGCGGCTTAAAATCTTTATGAATAGTAGTTTACCTGAAGTATATCCTAGCTATTATCCCCTTAGATCCAATCTTAACCGGCAAAATGTAACAATGAGGAAATAGCATAAAAGAAAAACACATTTTATTGCTTAATTTATTCAGTTTACAAGCGGATCAGATGAAAAATATAGAATCAGGCATCTTTTTAAACTTGACATGAAAGAAGTGACATCAGTTCAAAAGCTTTGATGTCGTATCAGAAGGAGGGGGGAGGAGTAGGGTAATCAACATTATTCATGTCTCGTCTGGGCTTTTCACGCGAGCCTCATACGCGTCTTCAAGTTCAAAAACATGCATCACGTGTGCCGACTTTGATTAATATTGTCGCGTTCAAATTTTGACAAACAGAAATGTATAGGGTGGGTGTGTTGACCAAAGGGTGCTACTAAGACCCAAACACAGGAAAACCGGATAGGAATGTCGTAACTGTGTTGACAGGTTCCCGACCTTCAGCAACAGCTGATGCCACAACATTCACCAGTGCTCTGGGGCGGCAGGGGGAATTTTAAAAGATGTCCATATACTAAAGATTTTTTTGGTGATTCTTAAAATACATTTAATATATCAGGAACCAATTTTTATTGCACTTCACTAAAAAAAATGAAACCTAAGAATTAAAATGTATTTAGAAGAATGAAAAATCTTTCTTAAACCTTTTATATTACTTTTAATTCCAAAATCATAGATTAAATTTAATATTTCCAATAAGCAAAATACATTACTATATTTCAAAACGAATTTAATTTGATTCGAATCATTTTTTTCTGATTATCAGAAAATTTTATAAAATTGCCTATATTGACAAATGTATCAGAACAACATAATTTTCTTTATTAAAATATTTTTCAAAAATAAAATATATTTTTCTAAAACGTTTTTTTTTGGGGGGAAAAATAGCTGATTTAAAGTTTAATTAATTATGATTTGAAACAATTATTACTTACTGTTAGTTTAAAATATTGTAGAAAAGCATGTTTAATACAGAGGTGTGTGTTATTATGAGGTGTTGACAGAGTTATTGATAGCCTGATGTTTGGGAAATTTAAATAAGGAGGAGATAATTGTAATAAAATTACATGACGAATGAAACGTAAACGCCATTTTTGCTACCCAATAATCTTAAAAAAATTAAAATATTTTGAGCATTTTAATATTTTATTGAATTTTAAGTAATTTAGCTCTATAGTCTTATTACGAAGAGACTTGATGATGAAATGTTAGAGAATTATCAGTCAATGTGGCATGAACTAAATAATTCAATAAGTAGAACAATATCTCAATTGTTATCCCGAAGATTTGCACGTCGGATCAGTTCTTTTAAATCAAATATGTGGTGTAGTTTAATTTATATTACAATGAATCATTCATACAAAAAGTAAATTAGTCAAGTTAATCATATAAAATGGCGAAGTTTTACCAAAAAAAAAAATTTCCATGCCCATATAATGACTGGACGTACAGACGAAAGTACTTGCGTATTTAAGGAAGACCTAATACAGTTTAATAAAACAAGTATCATAATATTCATCGAGTGATTATTAGGTTAATGCAACTTTAACATTTAGTTAGCGAAGGGATTTCGCCATTTTATATCATTAACTGGGCTGTTCGTAATCGGGAAATGTTGAATTGGAATATTTCCACTTCGTATACAACACCGTATCCTAACCCCACTGGACCCACGCACTCCACAAGACTGGTTGTTGGTCTGGTACGGTCCAGATTACAGGTTAGACACAAGACTCCGGATCCCAATGTCACCCTCCAGTGGTCATCCGATCGTGGAAATCCGGAAACTTTCCATTGGTCCACCCGTGAGTTCGTCGATTCGGTGAGAATCGGATTAACAGAAAAATAAATGTAATCAAGTCGATTCCATTTTGAAAGAACAAAAGTTTTATATATATATATAAAAGCAAACACAATAAATAATTCTTGTTGGACACAGTTGAATGCTTTTTGTATGTGAACAATAATCAAACAAACACAAATACTTCGAATAATTTCGGTAAAGGAGAGATATGGCCTTCGTTTTAATCCTTTTTGGCCTGTTCTTAGCGGACCTACTACAACCTTCGATGTTCCCGTTCTCAGTAGTAGTAATAGTAGTATTAGTCGTCGCAGGAGTCGACCTCAGCTTCAGCAACACACAGCGGACGCTCCTTTTGAAACTTCGATGGCTCTCCACTCAGTGATGTTTTTTTTTTATGTGTCGTGAAAATTTCATGAATTTAAAGCGTCGTAAATTACAATTTAGGCTAAGATTCTATTTCATTAGCTATAAGCAGATTTATTAAGGACATTAAAGAAAAAATACGCATTTTAAAATAACATCAGCGAAAATCGCGCAGTAATCACGACAAGTAAGATATGAAAAAGGCCGTTAATTAAGTAAGCTTCCGCGCATTACGACTAGAGTAAAACGTAGGTAAACAGCACCAGAAATGGCGGCCGGACACCGCGAAAGAGATCGATCTTACATTGACGATAAATCGAAAATGGTAATCTAGCGCAATGTTTTAATGTCATTTTCGAAACAACCAAGCAATTTCACACCAGAATGATACATTACCGGGGCTTTTGGTGCTTCTACTGCGAATTAACTGAAAAGGGTACATATAAAAATTTTAAGTTTCCCTAAGAGTAATTTACTGCGAACTTGTTTCAAATTTCTGACCAATAAAAATTTGTTAAACGTCGAGCGTTGTTAGTGCGTCTAACATTGTTTAATACCTAACAAGTTCAGCTGGTAAACAACAGATGACGGGTTCGATTCTCGTCGCGTGCCCTCATGGTTCTAGTCCGCATTAAAAATTAGTTACTCTATATACATTTCTAATGTCCTTCTAGGCGTTTCGAGTAAACCTGTCTGCTAGGGTGGCCAGACGCCTGCTCAGGCACAGTTGTGTTTGTTCAACACCCAAACAGCCAACCTATGGTTTATACTGTAACTAATCTGTGTGGATTTTAGATAACCTCGAAAAGTCACTTCTGTGACAAATCGATCAAGAGATTCGAACCCAGCTATCATGGCCCATAAATATATATTTTAAAAAATACGCATTTTCTTTTTTACGCTATAGTCCATGAGCCATATTCGCATGTATCAATTTGGGACAAATGGTTTTCTAATAGCTACAGAAATTGAACACTTTCAAGTTTATAGGTGTTACCTACCTTATGAACCGAAACTAAAACCCAAATTATTTTATGTAAATATGAACGACTTTTGAAGAGTTCATTCTACCTAAGCAAATATTTTTATGAAACAATTTCCAATCCATTGTAGAATTGTTGCGTTTTTTTCAAACGATTTTTTCTTTATTAGATGTAGATACATAGATAGATGTGAAGAAACTACGATAGACAGATAGATACAGATGTATCCCATAATAATAAGAATAAGCGTAGATGTATCCCATAATAAGAATAAGCGTAGATGTATCCCATAATAATAAGAATAAGCGTAGATGTGTATCTTCAAATAGGGTAGAAAAGTTTCAAGGCTTGTCATCTTTGAAAATCAGAATTGGAAATTTTGATTTTTAACAGCATTCATGAATGAACCTCTCTTTTAGCTTCAGCCTTAAAAAATATATATATATATATATATATATATATATATATATATATATATATATATATATTTGATTTAAGAATAGAAAAAAGATCGCTGAAAAATATTCTAATCTTTGTTAGCTGCCATTTCCATGCTTGCATTTTTTTGTGGTGTTAGTAAAGAAAAGTAAAGCATCCTCGCCATACTGCAAAGGCCGACTACTGGATTGGCGGTCAGCCGGTTAACGTCTGGCACGCACCTGCCGCCTGATGACGTCACTCAGCAGCTGCTTTACGGCAGAGCGACTTTGCTGATCACGTCACAAGATTCTAAATCCCAAAGGAAGTTATGAGATGAAGGGCTGAGCGGAGAAGGTAGGAAATGCGGGTGAACAGGAACAGTGACTCAGTGTGGGTGGGGAAAGAAAAAAGGAAGAAAGATGGAAAAGGAAACAGAGGAGGTACAACAACGTAGAAAGAAAGAAAGAAAGAAACAAACAAACAAACAAACAAACAAACAAACAGTAAGAACTGTGGCGGGGGCGAAAAAAGAAAAGTCTGTTACTAAAATAAAGCTAGTGTTGCCAAAGGCTGAAAATATACCACTTTTAATATTTGCAACAATTTAATAGTAACGACTGAAGAAATCAAAAGACACATGAAACATCTAAAATAAATTTGTTCGATCGGTAAACAGTCGTAATTCAATGCTAGACGCCATTTGCAATTTTGATGGCCGGTATCGTAAAATCTGCATTATTCAATTAAATCGTTTGCTTAAAAGTTATAACGGATTTCGGATTTAACAGACTTTACCGCAAGGTTGAGTTTAACTCGGTTTCAATACTGAAATTATACCTAAAATAAATCTTATGAAAATATGAGTGTCTATATTAAAAACTTTGAATGACGAAAAAAAAGTAAACGTCTATTGAATTACGCTATCGAAAAGGTGAGTAAATACATGATTTTTTTTTATTATAAATAAATAATTTCATATCGTACAGTACTGTGTATTGTAATAAAGGTTTGTTTTTTTTTTTGTTTTATTAAATATTAAACCGTTTTTATATTGAATTTGTAATGATTATCGATGCGCAATTTGGAATTTGGTTTATTTTTGCTTCGTCCATTTCACGCTATGTACTTAGAATGGTTATCTTCTTCCAAATATAACAGGACAGACATGAACCTCTTGTTTAAAAGATGGCAATCAGTCTAGTAGAAAGAAAAGTTTGAATTCAAACCTATTTACAGACTTCCGGACACTGTGCACGATTCATTTGTATGTACGTACAAACACAAACACAAACACACACACGCACACACACGTGTCTATGTGTCCGTGTGTTTCCATACTCTCTATGCATAGTTGCAGATAATTGGGGTAAAGAAACGGTCTTGGTTGCTAAAAAACTTGAGCGGATTTTAAAAATCATTTGTGAGTTAATTTTGCTGTCTTAGTGATTACCTAGTGATGTGAAATTCGGTTGTTGCGAGAAGACGAGGCATTACATGACCCCACTCCGAGAAACGTGTTACCATAACGACGGAATAGGACTTTATTAAATACAGAGAAACGTGTTACTAGTACATTTTGTTATGTCGTTTGCTTCGAGGTAATTTTACAGCTTAGATCATAAAATAACAAGCAGCAAGTGAAATAATTAGAAGTCCTATCATAATTTGCATGTATGTAACGTAGTATGTGTACACATAGATAGATAGATAGATAGATAGATAGATAGATAGATAGATAGATAGATAGATGTGAAGAGACTAAGTTAGATAGATAGATACATACATACATATGAAGAGATAGATAGATAGATAGATAGATAGATAGATAGATAGATAGATAGATAGATAGATAGATAGATGTGAAGAGATTAAGATACATACATACATACATACAGGCATATGAATAGACTAAGATAGATAGATAGATAGATAGATAGATAGATAGATAGATAGATAGATATGTAAAGTAAAGATAGTTGAAAAGATACGGTGTCTCCGGTGAAATTTTTGAACTGATCTAGTCGTTCTTATCAAAACGTGAAACGAAAGTTATCTCGAACAGTCTCTCTTCTAGATCCTTCCGTACTAATGCAGGTATCCCCCAACAGGGCCATATCCTTGGTCCTATTTATTTCACTGACGACCATCCTGATGGCTTCAGCTCTCAACTTGGTATCTACGCTGATGACACAACCATTTAATTCTGTCTTGATCGTAAGTCTGATCAGTCCGATAAGATCAAATTGGCGGCTAGAGATCCTTGATAAAATCCAAAGAAGAATCAGTTATATTATTGGACATGATTTGATGTCTCAGTTTCTGTCACTTTGCCATCGCCGTAAAGTTGTCTCCCTGTGTCTTTTCTATAAGTACTTCCATGGCAACTGTTCGGATGGACCCTTCCCTCTGGTAACTAGACTTTATGAATTTAAGCGCTGTACTAGAATGGTGACGAGGTCTCACCAATTTACCGTTCAGCTGGCGAAACGTAACCGTAAATTCTATGCTGACAGTTTCTTTTCTCGCACTTTTCGCTTCCGTATCCATGCTCTTCCCTTCCGTATCCATGCTTTCCACCCATCTTTTATCTTCAAAAATTTAAATGCAATGTCAATCGATATCTATTTTCCTCCTGATTACTCCTCTTGTGTTCACACTCCTTAGTAAGGCTTCTATTTTCTAATTCTTAGTCTAATTTTCTAATTATAACGTCTTATTGGCTATAATGCCTTCCTTATGATAGATAGATAGATAGATAGATAGATAGATAGATAGATAGATAGATAGATATGAACAAACTGAGATAGATACTGTTTTAGCATACCTAAGGACGATAATGGGTATGTCCCCATTCACATAAATACAGTAGTAAATACGGTAGATTGTAGTTGGAGATTCATTGTGGAATTCACTTGACTCACTTCTAGCATTTGACTACTTCTTCTACGCGCCGCTGGCGAATCTTATCTGTGTTGTTCTTGTCCTAAGTATTATCGTTCATTTCCAACCTTCGTGTGATTATTCTATCCAGTAATCTTCCCAAGGTTAGAACAGATAGATAGATAGATAGATAGATAGATAGATAGATAGATAAACTTTTGTCTGTACCACTTTTCTACGTCACAAATTCTAAATATGATTCATCATCAGTTGACGTAGAAATGATTATTCAACAGTAAAGTGATTACTAAAAATATTTAGACTTCCTTGCAATTTACACAACAAACGTAAACTATTTTCTATAAAGTATTATTTGATTCATTTCAATATTCAGGAAGTAGGGAACACAATCAAATATTATTTAACGCATCACATTTTGATATCACAGCATATATATATATATATATATATATATATATATATATATATATATATGATTGAAATATCTTATTTATTATGATATTCATTTGAAATATTTAAACATCGACTTGGTTGCCGTCTTTGTATCCTGAAATGTCTTATCTTCTATCTGATCGATGAATATTATTGAAACCGATCATTAATTTCGTCTACATATTGATTTTATTGATCTCTTTTCGCGATATTTTTTCTTTGTATTGCCCAATTGATTGATTGATTCGGCTTGCAGCTCTGTTATTATTCTTTTAGGAAAATCGAGAAGGGAAATGAGAAAAAGAAAAAAAAACGACAAAAAAGAGGAAAATAACAAAATGTTTAAACAGATCTCGCAAGCCGTTCATCATAAATTCTGTTCTCAATAAATGCAAATAAATTCATTTAAAAAAATACGATTGGAAACTTAATAAGAATCACGATTTCCACTTGTCGTCCTTTTTACGTAGTGACGAGATTTTCATGGCAGATACTTCCAAGTTGGAATATTGGAGTCAAGTGACTATTTAGGGCCAGCATTATGTCGATTTAGACTTTCCATTTTACTATTCTCTCTCTTTCACCCCTCACACATAGATAGATAGATAGATAGATAGATAGATAGATAGATAGATAGATAGATAGATATGTATGGAGTGACTGAGATACATAGATAGATAGTGTGCAAATTTCCGCATGTCTCTTGCTTTCTTTTTACCTACAAAAATTTAAACGGAAAGTCAATTAGCTTACGTCTTCTTGAAGCCTGTTCTTTTAATGTCCTCTCTCCTAAATAACATTTTTTTCATTTTCCTTAACTCTGAATAACCCCTTGCATCTTAGTGACTTTATCGCCTTGCTTTGAGTGAAATGATTTTCAAAATATTTTTTTTTCGATTTCTTTCAAACTACAATCTAATATTTGTTCTAAAAGGAGACCTTTCTAACCAAACGCACTTAGTAGGTATGTGCAGGAATAGGTTAAAGACTGTGTGTTAGTATGTGATCTAGTAAATGTGTGTTGAAGTTTGTTTACGTCTTTTGACTTTCCTAAGACAGTCACTAAAAAAGAACACAAAAATTAAATCGACCGATTCTGGTCGTCAACTGTTCGTTGAGTGTCAAAAATGGCAGTTAGAATATTGTAAGCAATGACTATCGCCTATTGTAGGTTTTATCAACGTTGCTTAGCTTCTGATGTTAAAGTTTTGAAATGAGACTGCTTGAATAAGGCTTTCTAAATACAACAGTGCGAGGAAAAGTTCTCGACCCGACCAAAACATAATTGTAAACTATTCTGATGTTTTGTTTTGATTTTAGAAGCAAAACCCTTTCACCACATATATACGTATAGAATTTTATATTTTTGATTTCATGCCTGCACGTTGTTTGTTTTTGATTTTGTCGACTGCACAATACAGTAGGAAGTGTTTGGCACCGTCTGTGAAAAAAAGAGCACCATAAAACAATTCACTGTGCCAGTAATTTGAAAACGATATACTGTTCTCATTGGCATTCGCAACGAAAAGTCCAATACGAACATTTCAAAGTGTTTGGATATTAATCTGAAGACAGTGCAGAGAATGTGGAAAGAGTTGGATGAGTCTAATAGTGATTACAAATACGTTTAGAGTGATCGCGACGTTATGCCCCCATTCAATTTCCCAGAGAGCCTCAGACTCAGCACGGAAGCATACATCAAGTGCCTTGAGGAGGTAGTGCTGCCCTGGGTCAAAAGGGTGGCTGCTGGAAGACCCTATGTCTGGCAAAAGGACTCTACATCATGCTACACAGGCAGGAGAACCCAGCCATAACTGTAAGACAATTTCTGCGACCGCATCACCCCTTACATCTGGCAGCCTTACTCCCCAGACTGCAACCCCCTTGATTATTATGTGTGGGGTGCAGTTGAGTGAGAGATCAATAAAACTCCTTGTGACACCAAAGCTGAACTGAAGGCAAGGATTATGGCATCATTCACCAGCTTAAATAATGAGACCATCCAGACGATTTGCAGGAGATTCCGAAGTTGTCTGGAGGCCTTGGTTGAAGCCAAATGGCAATTTTATTGAATAAATTTACTTTTTAGCATTTCAAGATATTTTTATGTGATTTTCGTAAATATATCTATTAAAATGAGATGTCAGTGTTATTTTCATTTTTGTGTAATTTAGACGATAATTTCTCCATCGCACCCTGTATATGCCAACTTTTAAGATATTTCGGTTGATGTTAACTAATCTTCGTACAGCCAAATATGAAATCAGGGCGTGAATAAAAACATAAGATCGTGTTGTGAAAATGTTACTATAATATGGGAATATGTGTTGGTCTGGTTACAATTTTGCACGGTCTTTTTTACTAAATTAAGAAAAATGCCTCAATTGTGGCTTTTATCGTGTCAGGAGTCACAATTGCGTAAATGTTTGTTTTTTTGTTAGATTTAAAGAACATAGCATTGAGAATTTTATGTGACTGAGTTTAAATTTTAAATCAACTCGCAGAATACTTCATCATCGAGAGAACTATTTCGACTTGAAGGCGCACTGCAAGTCTGGGGGAATTCTCATCTGCAGCAAATTTACAAATACCCCCCCCCACTCACTATCAGTTCTCTAAACCTCTCTGTCTTGTATTAATCCCCAAAATTGTTGCAGGTTTTTTAAGATCTCCAAATCTTATTTTTTCGGAAAATGATGGTATTTTATTCAAGGATAATGTTGTTGTTCAATGTGTATACAAAGTTGTTCGTACAATGTCCATGGATATTATTTCCCGATTTTGGATTAATGACAAAACCATTTCCCTAATATTAACCGTCCAAAACTATTAACTTTTGCTAATTCCGATATTAACATCAAACCGATATTTACACTATTTATATATTCGGACGATTGTCCTCATCTTTGTTGTTATCACAGCATTTCCACCGTTGTGCCCTCCGGCCTTCATCAGATGTTTTCTAATCGGAACCCTTTATTTAATCTACCTCCGTAGATTGTTCTTGTGCCACTGCCCATGTCTTGCGACATCTCGTCTAGTTCTTATTTTTACTTATCGTTTGGTTATTACTCGCCCTCTTTCCACTAACTCCAAGTACACACTGCCATCCAGGATTCGAACTCACAATTACTCTGCCATCGAATTCACGAACCAACGTTTTAACCGACGAGACCAGTTTTCCGTACATTAAATGAAGGCTTCAGTTGTGGGTTACACGGATCGATATACACCTGATGAAGACCGGACGATATAAAGACCGAAGCGTCAATATTAATTCTACAATTCAGAAGTTGAGAAAGAAAGTTCTTCTTTGATGTTGGTTTCTTGGACAATATCAAAATGTCGAGCCAAAAATTCCTGTTTTTCCTTCTGTTTCTTTTGACAAAATTCCTCTAACATTGAACATTTAGATGGTAAAATATTGTTTTATGTCATCGGGAGTATTTACAAAGCTCTAAATAAGAAATTACAAAGTTTAACTGTTGACAACAGGCGAAAACATTTCTCGACTGACATTACTTAATCGAATAATTTCAAATCAAAATCAGCACTTAAATATTTCAGACTTCTAACGATAGAAACGTAATAAAAAGTTTGATTTCTAAAGTCACCATAAATAAAATAAACATTTAAATATTGGAGCAAAGGAAACGTATACAATCTAACAATATAAGATACGCAGATGATACAGTGTTGATGACAGACAGGAAAGGAATTATCCAACAGAAGGAAAGAAAGAAGAAAGGACTAACTATAAGAAGATAGGATGTATGGTTTTCAGCAAAAGTAATGGACCAAGTAAGAACTGAAATTCAACAGTCTGGGAAGAGGGAAAATGTGGCACAAAAAATCCGAAAGCACATTGAAATGGCGAAAGATGCCTTCTAAAAGCTAAATAATGTATGAAGCAACAGGGAATTTTCGTTAGAAACAAAGAAAATAGTGCTGAGCTAATATGCAATATCAATCACCCTATATGGCAACGAAAGATGGACAATTTCCTTCCAGATGAAAAGGAGACGAGGCAACAGAGATGTTGTTCTACAGAAGGATGCTGAGAATAACATGAATGGTGCATCTGTGCAATGAATAACTCTCAAGAAAATGCGAACAAAAAGACACTATAGAATAACCCCAGCCACATAACGAAGAAAGTAGGCTTGGAGAATTTAACCCTCACAGGACATAATGAAGCAAATGAGCTTGTATAAATGAATAGCAGAACATGGACTAGGAAGGATACGGATAAGCATTAGAAATAACATGGATAGGAAGTTGTGGAGAACCATGATCTCCCACGTCGTGAAGGTCAACGGCATGGAAGAGAAGAAAAAAGAACCATTACTTTTCCACTAGAAACAGTGAATGCTAAATAATTTTATAACAACAGAGTATATTCTTTAAACGGGGACTAAAACTAAGATTAATGTACCCAGCTCCTGGGAACTATCAAGCCAGGCAGCATCACTCAAATTGCACTTAACAAGGGTGGGTCAAGGCCAGTTTTTGATGCCTAAGGTGTCCCAAAAGGGAAGTGCCGAGGAAGGCAGCAATTTTTGTTTCTAATCTCATGTACCCGTGGGATTCCACTTTAAATACGGCCTTGTACCATATTCTTTTCGAATGGGTGTGCGAATAAATACCCGTTTCATCCCCAGGTGCAGAAGACATGCTGAGATGAAAGTCAATTCTCTTTTCGACTTTATTAACATCTTCTGCACGCGCATTACTGCAGACACATAGAATACGAAATATGATTTTCTGTCATGAATTTTTGTACACGAAAACTTGTGAGAACTTTTCTTTTCTAAAAAAGCAAAATACTTTGAATATTCTTCTTTTAAAAAAAATATAGATAAATAGATATAGAGAGTATGGATATAAGAATCGACAATGCATGGTGACTGTCAGGATCTTGAGATCAAGTGCCACTACTCCTGTACCAATGTATATATATATTGATGCACGTTTCATTAAATAATATAGACAAGTTTGGTTTATTTATTTTAAGTTCCTTTCATATTATTTACATTATTCGGACTATTGACCTCATCTTTGTCGCCATATTTATTACAACGTGTCGGCCGTTGTACGCTCCGGCCTTCTTCAGGTGGTTGGAATGTCGAACTGAACCCTTTATTTCTCTCACTGGGGTAGACTGTGGTAGACTGTTCTAGTTCCACGTGCCATGTTTAATGGATGTCAGTTATCAGTTATCTCCTGTTAATTTCCCTCTAAAAGTTCAACACTGCCTGAACCGGGTATTGAACTCACAATCTTTGGGTCCTGTCAGTGGCATGTGCCATGTGTCCTTGAGAAAACGTTGTAATAAATATGGTGACAAAGATGAGGACAATAGTCCGAATAATGTAATTAATGTTTTAATCCTATCTAATTTTTCTGCTTACATAAGCCATTATCAAAGATAACAATTACATTTCAATATATTAAACAATACACGGACAAAACAAGAATGATAGTCTGTTTTTGTTGCATGAAAAATTTCTAAACAACGACAAACTCATGCATACGAGACGCGGAAGCGAAAATCGCATCGCAGCTCGTGACGTTACACATGACAACGCGAGAGTGAAAACGAGAAGTAAAATAGACAAAACTTGTCTATATTATTTAATGAAACATGCATTAATGAAAAATTGCTGCCTAAATACACACACAATACACAAACAAACAC